TACTTGCATTCTTGAGACAAAAAAGCTGAGAAATAAGGAGACCGAAGAGCCTTTTACTGGGAATGGGCCAGAAAAAAGAGCAGCAGTTACGCTTTAAAATGGAGGGAAATGCTTGGAAGTAATGGTTTTTTCCTCAGACGGTAAAGAGATGCCTTTTCATTTAATTCTAACTTGTGTACGATAATCTTTGATTCCCAGTGTTTCGGGAAACCTTGTTTCAGTTTGTTTTTAGTTAGTTAACTGCTTACCAGATGTTTCGTACCCACGGACGTTTCGTACCCAGACGATTCGTACCCAAAGTTGAGATGATTCGTACCCAACGCTAAGATGATTCGTATCCAATGCTTAGATGATTTGTACCCATGCGATAACCAAGTCTCTATGTTGTAAACAGTGTGTTTTCATAGTTAAAGTTAAGGCTTTCACTAAATTAAAGGATCGAAACCGCAGAACTAACCACAAGACAGGACCTACTGGTGGAGATTGTGGGACGAAACAAATGTGCTTGTTTACGTCCGAATTTGCTACATCTAACTCACATGAGAGTGCACGACTTAACAAAATGAATCATGTGAAAGCACATGAACTAACAAAATACAACTTTGTAAAGTTTATGATTCGACAAGTTCAAAGAGGACTTCACTCCACCATCATCTGAAGGAAGTGTTTCAGATAAAATGTCAGTGTCAACTACACCGACTGAAGGTTTGTGTTGTCAAAACTAAACTTTTTACATTAAAACTAGGGACTTACATGTCTAAATGCAATCAAAACCAAAATCCCTAATTATTAAGATTAAAACTGAAGGAGAAATCTTTGTTTTCCCAGTTGAAGAATTGGACACAATGGTGACTCATACATATTACTGTTGAAAAAGGATTGTCTTAATCAATTCATATCATATTATATTTTCTAGATGATGAAGAAGAGGAACCAGGTGATGACATAAAGGACATGTCTTCGCAGTCTTCTGCAGAAATTTGCACAGTGAAAGTGATCAATGTTCACTCAATCCGTTTCCTCACAGTTAGAAAGCATTTGTTACCACCAGGAAAAGCATTAAGCGTAAAATGCAGGAGCTTAGGGAAATACCAACTGTTAATTCTACTGGCGAAGGCCCTTGTGAAGGCTGGCCATATTGCTTTTGAAGGTTCTGACATTAATTACCAGAACCTTACAAGAACAGAGGTGAATGTGATAACTGACATTGAATGACTTATTTCTGATGGAGAGGAGTCACAAGACTCTTGCAGTGCAAATGATGTGGTTAATGACAGTCAAGTGAGCTAACTAATTTGTGTTCTTTGTTTTTTTAACCATATCATTGAGACAAACCTTAACTTGAGTGAAGAAGAGAGAATGAAGAGCAGTCGTGGTCATTTAAATATAGAGTTACTCTCAGATTTATATAACAGTTGCATTTTTAATTATGTTTTGTTGCTAATAGATTACATGTAGTTTCCTAATTTGTTTTTAATGATAGAGTGGTGCAGTTACATCTTATAAAAAATGATTTCGAAAACCATTGAAGTAAGAAAATTAATGTAAGCAAAGTAACATGACGTTTCAACGACTTCATGTCATTGTACTATAAATATGCCTTGCCATTATTTTTAACCCTTTCACTGCCAGAGTCTTTAACAGAGTTTTGTAGGGTGACTCTAACTTTTGAGTCTGTGGACGAAATCCTACGATGAGACCATTCAAATAAAAGCTCTCTGCCTAGACTCTGTCATGATACTATTTATTTCTTAAAATTTTAGAGAATGAAATTTGGAAATTTGGTCGAAATTTGCCTTTGGCCACGTTTGGCAGTGAAAGGGTTAATTTAATCATTCGACAATGGTGACATGAAGTTGTTGAGATGTCATGTTACTTTGCTTAGGTTAATTTTTTTGCTTAACAGTTACATCTACTGGTTATTTATTACAAGTGTACATCTTTTGGTATTACCAAAATGAGTCATGTTTGGAAGTAAGGTAAAATAAAATGTTGGAAATTCAACTTGTGATGTTTGAAGTTCTTCATGTCCAGTGTTGGTTGATAAAATTATCCAATATCGAATACATTTGTTACAATATTGGTTGTGACTGCAGCGCTGCGCAGTCAGCGGTATGTTGTAAAAGCTTAGCAGCCGCACCAGATTTTAGTAAGCGGCCGCCATGTTAGCCCTTTCTCGTGTTGTTCAAGTTTTTGGATAGTTATCGCCATCCATCGGACATTATACGGCCTAAACGGTAAGAACTGTTAAAAGAACATTTTACGGAAAATCCCAAGAGAGTATTTCACACGACATTTTGAAGTTTAGTACTTACGAATCACGTATTTAGCCTATCATGTATTTGTCATGTCAGATTGTTATCTCGGGACTCAGGATCCAAGAACTAAGGAGTAAAAAGAATGTGTTGTACCGAGGACCTGTGAATAAACTACGTTTGGGACGTTCGTGTTGATTGTTAGCAACTCCTCTTGTTGTATGTACTACGGGAGGCCAGCCACA